ATGGCTGAAATATTGCCGATGTGACTTACTCTGAACTCAGAAAATCCTGATAAAATATCTTTATATACTCCCCATCAAAAGTTTAGACTCAATAGTGTAATATAGCCACTTACTTCAGGCAACATGTTCTAAACAAAATTTTACAAAATATTCCATACCGTTTAAGGGTACAGTTTACACATGAACTGAGATATTGTAAAACATATTCGTAACGTCGAAAAGATTATTGTCATGAGTTCAATAAATGATGAAACAGTGAAAATTAGCGAATTCTTAACAAAACTTTACATCAAAACGCAGCTGTTCACATGCACGATATCTGAACATGCATTTCAGCAATTTGATACATGAACCTCGTGCAATTCATCTGCATAAGGTTTGCAGTTGGTTCCCCCAAATTAGTGTAGAAATTCATCGTCGATGTAACCATACATATATACATAACAAATAGTGAGTGCTTTAAGTCTAGAAAATGTAAAGGTAGACGAAGCGCCTCTAAAATATCTATTTCGGGTCGAGGAACTTTCAAAAACTGGAGCACGTGGGTTGTGAAGTTACGCAATTATCAATTAATAATAATATTTTAAACAGCTGGGTGGACTGAGTGCAATGTGGACGAAGTGCCTTGCACAGTATGAGACCCAGGTCACAAATTTTGGTGTCTCCACCGGGATTCGAACCCGGGCCTTTGGCGTGAGAGGCCAGCATGCTAACCACTACACCACTGTGTTCCATTACCACCTCATGATACGGTGTCTCCCCAGTGCGGGGGCACTGTCTGAAGAGTCTGTAGAGATAACATTGCACTGGGTTACTCCCGCCTGTTGCCAGTACCGCGCAATGTTATCTGTGCATGTTCTGCATGGCCGGCTCCTGCACCAGTAAGGCTGCCTCTCTGACTGGCGGCTGGGTTAGCTGTAGACATGCATCAACTAAAATCGCGTCAGCACTTTCGTGATAATGTTGGAAAATATAGCTATAAGCAGCAGGATTGCTATCCATGCACTAATACACGCGGTTGTTAACACCCTCGGAAAATAGAGTACTGTTTTTGCTCACCTGAAAAGAGAAGTTTATGTCGTGAGGCGTTTTTTCGTCGATCGTCTCAGGTTCTGTGGTGTCACGATCGTCGGAGGTCATTTCGTGTTAGGACATGTCCCTGGTCAATGCTTATGAAGTGATGCTGACTGTTGCATCATCCGAACAATGGCTTGACTAAAACGTGTGGATCCCCTAATTAACATGGCGAACACGGCAACCATATTGAAAATTCATTTTGTGATCATTACAGCAATGTAATCGTGATGTTTTGTGGAAAATTTATGAGTGAAATTTGTCAGACCATATATATTGGATCTAACCTTATTATTAGTGCTACTGGGTAGACTAGTGGTTAAAGCGTTCGCTCTTCGCGCTGAAGACCCGGGTTCGATTCCCCATATGGGTACAATGTGTGAAGCCTATGTCTTGTATCTCCCCCGCCGCCGTGATATATCTGGAATATTGCTAAAGCGGCGTAAAACAATACTCACTCACTATTAGTGATACTTTATATCTGTAATTGCGTGCACATTTGAAAAAACTCATTGATACATTAAATGTTTTTGTAGATGGTCTGATAAACTTCAACATGGCAAGCAGAACGTTAGATGGATCTCTAAGAGCAAATCCCAGCCAGTTGTCAATATACACAATATAATTTCACGCAGAATATGGTATTAAGACCATCACACAGAGACTTACATCACAGCATATTTACAAGGGTCAATTACACCTTTTTTCAGAATCGTTTGTTGCTGACAATACTGGATGCAAATGATGCTTGAAAACAGTGTCATAATCCCCTTGGGTGTTAGATGCTATTTCTAAAACGCAGTAACATAATTTATACAGGGATAAGAACGAGCATGTGCCAAGAACGTAAAAACTTAAATATTCTCATTTCTGTTTTTATCTCAAGTTTTCAAGAAGCTCTCCGTTTGACCAACAGTACCTCTCCCGGTCAAATATAAACATAATGTTAATCCTCGGAAATACAACGCACATATATTGACTCCTTTGTTTAAATGAATGTACAATGTACCAAACAGCATGGCTGAGAAACTGAGAATTACTGCATTCTTTAATTACCTACCTAACCTCACACATTTATTGGGATTATATTCTGAGACATCCTGATGAAGCAGGGTAAGGAATGCCTCGACGTCTGATACCAATTTCGACTTAAGTCCGTTAAGCCAGACAGAGGCAAAATATATAATAAACGCTAATCGTTTCCAATCTCTTTCCTTGACAAGTTATATGGTTGGCATCGTCTTCCTCAGATCAAGTATACATCCTTTTCATTATAGAATTTGGGATAGATAGTCCCTTTTCCAATTTCCCCAAATGATCGAACACCTAAACCTGAATCAGTGAAGATATTAGCTGTTCTGTCACTAGGTCCCCTTTGCTCTCAATCTCGATCAGGGCAGCTGAAGCCAAATAACGGGCCCTGAACAAGAATTATTTCAAATGTATCGCACGTTCGTAAGGGCCGTCATCCCCATTCGTCTAATGAGAAATATGTCATGCCTGGTGAATATGGCATGCCAGTGCTGCTCCAATCTCAGACCGTCTGGACATACTTCGCCATTTTTTATCGCTTCGCTGAAATTAGTGAACGAGGCTAGACTTGGGGTTTGTCTCCAGAAACTCATTACGCGCAAGATCGGATACAACCGTCTTAAACAAACCAGTTTTAGGACTAGACTCTATTTCCTCTGCTGTCTTTACGGAAACGGGTATTGAATGTCAACGCGACTCAAAAGTGCCTACATTTTTCTATACATTTTCGACCTTGTTGTTCCTCATGGAGAGAGGTCGACGACGATTCTGCTTTGAAGGATAATGATAACGACATTTGTGGCAATGTCGAAAAACGAGAACATGTGTAGGAATCATGACCACTTAGCCTCCAATAGGGTTGTGTTCAGCGAAGCGTGTCCTCTATGATCGCTAAGAAGGACGTTGACAAAAAAACTACTCTAAACTATTTTTGTTTGATGCATTATTATGTTGCTTTATCTCGCATTCAAATTTATCTGTTTTTAAAAAGATATATTTTACATAATTATGTCATACCTGAATACCACGTTCCTTTGCGTTACAAATACATGACCAAGGCCTTGATTATCATAAAAACGATTGCGACATTCACGACGATGATGGTCATGCTGACATTTATTGGACAGGGATGAACAAGGTCTGTTTACTAACTCATCTACGTTCAGATGTTCCATGTAGCCTGGTATCTGAAGCGTTCGGAGTGAGTAGGTGAGTGAGGTTTTAGACAGCTTTTAGCAGTATTCCATGAAGAGCACGACGGGGTACACCAGAAATGGGCTTCACACATTGTACCCATGTGAGGAATCGAACCCGGGTCTTCGGCGTGACGGGCGAACGCTTTAACCACCAGGCTACCTCACCGCCACGCCGAAGACTTTAACTCGATCCTAGAGGTGGGTAGAATGAGTGAAGCTCATTTCTAATATGTTATTGCTGGGACAGCGCTAAAAGCGGCAAAAACAATACTCACTCACCGGAGCATTCCAAAGAAATGTTCCTTAAAACAGGGGCGGTGGGGTAGCCTAGTGGTTAAAGCGTTCGTTCGTCACGCCGAAGGCCCGGGTTCGATTCCCCATATGGGTACAATTTGTGAAGCCCATTTCTGGTGTATTGCTGGAATATTGCTAAAAACGGCGTAAAACCATACACAGTCAGTCAGTCAGTCCTTAAATCAGTATTTTTGCGACCGACTAGGCGACAACCCCCGTGGGCATGGCGTCTGATTCACAACCAACTTATGATAGCACTGTTCTGCAAAGCCCAAAAGACATCAACACGATCATATTAACACGATTTTGTGATTTCTTTCGAAGGGAACATATTTCTGGCATTGCAAAACCGGATGGTTCAAATCCATCAACCTTCTTGAAAAAGTAGCAAATGTTCTTCGCAGTAGGTAATCAATTTTTAATTTCCTGCTCTGTCAACTGAGAGTTCCAAACAAAATTAAATCACAGAACTCGTATATTCTTAAGCGCCAGAGCCAAATATGTCTTTCTTAAATGAGATTTCAGAAAAAAATAATGTAAGTATTGTTTTGTACGGTCATTTGTAATAAACTGCGGCAAAATGTAATAACAAAATGTAATAACACTGGTAAATTATTGCATTTTGTCGCAGTTATTACATTATAAAGGCGGTGTAACATTTTACACCGTAGTGCCTGCATTACAGCACCTGCCGGGATATGGCTAGAACGTAGCCAACATCGATCCAAAACGATGATACCAAACAGAACTTAATGAAAACGCGATTCTTTCATATTACTTTGGTTAACCTGTCGTGTCAGGGTTACGGTAGTAATTTGAAAGAATCGGTTTCATTTTGACTTCTTTCGGTAGTAGAACTTACTCTTGCTATCAACCACTGGTGTTTCTTCTGCTATACTTTAACAATTACTAGATTTTCGAAGCTCTCATAGCGCTATGTATGGCACTTACAACTATCTTAGCTCTAAGAGAGTTTCGAAAATCTAGGCCCACGTCGCTAGCTGAACGGGGACTCGAATCTATTTCATTTTCCATCTCAAGATATCGTTTTGATTTCCCATCATTCCTTCAATGAATATACGTAGGTAGCAATGTATTATGCTTGAGCGTCTGTTATTTAAGGGCCGAAAAGACGACAATGTCTCAGGTCCGTGACATAACGCCCCCCGGAGCCCTGCGAACACAAACTCCATATCGTACATCGCAGACAAATGTCCATTTACGAACTATGGCGACATTAACGAACCCCTTTGTATTCAGGGTTGCTGAACTTTGTCGAGCGTTCATTGTATACTTTAGTGCAAATAGGCACGGTATACAATTTCAAGATGACAAAACAGAGTTTAACGGGATTCTAATCACGCTTGTTTGAGAGTGATAGGTGTAGATTACGTGGGCGCTACGTGGGGCTATTGTTGACACCAGGCCACCTCGAGTAACGCGGAGAAAACCCAGCTCTGCACAAGGGCATAATGTTATGTTCCTGAGGTAATCTGTCGGATAAGGATTACCGTTCATTTTTCTGAATCTGATGCGAGGAATAAGACCACAGCCCAAAGGAGATTACTAGTATTTGAAACATCAGTACATCATCAAACATAGTACATATACACTGTACGGAGAACATATGTCAATCAGGTCTCCTTTCGCCGACGAACCAACTAGAAGCCGCTGAAGGTATGTGTTTCTCTGCGTTCTAAGTATCTAAAGGTGTAATGATGCTGCTGTTGATAATTACATAACAGTGACGTTATGATGGTAATGATGATGATGATAAATAGTTTTCTTTGTCGAAGTCCTGTCTGATTAGTAGCGTGACCAACTGTCTGATCACCTTGGATTTAGCTCGAAGCACGGAGTTGTAACCGCTGCAGGTTAATGTGACATAAATATGCAATATAGCACAGTCAGTTCTATTCATGTTCAAACGTCGACAGTGTCGGCTGTTATCCCCTAAAGGCGAAAGCTCCTTCATTATCTGACCCACTTCCTTATTCAAGATTTGGTATATAATAATAGGAGAATACAGTACATAGAAAAAATAACTTGGGTACAATACGTTAGGCGTATTTCTAAAATGCCTAGCGGTTAGAACAATCGAAAAAAAAATTACATTATCAGACAATAAAGGTATAGTTTTTTAATGACGTAACAATTGAATGACGTTTTCCAGTCACTGCGCCATTCTAGTGTGCCCCCTCGTAATCGAATTATTTTACATTACGTCACAATGTAAGCGACGTCACGATGCATGTCAGTTGTCATCGCCTCGTACGGCCTCCTACAGTAAACTACTCCGTTGCATCCCGTGTAATGGTTTGCAGTTGCTTCACGCAGCTAACATCACTAGTGGAAACATTACGTTTATGTTTTACGGCTGTTAAAATGTGTCAATTCGACTCACAAGTTTTCAGCGACACTGTAACGTTCGCAATGTTTACATTCCCACAATGCAATCGTGGAATGTCAATATTGACTACTCAGCTTCATGGATGTACTGATCTAAACTTACGTTGGTAGTAGAAATGCGACGTTCATATTGCCCCATATGGTTTACGTTACTGACAGATGTAATTAAAATAATTCAGAGAAGATATTTAATCCGAACGTAAACCGTCATCAAACTGTTATCATTTCTTTTTTTCTGGTAACGTTCGTCTTAACGTAGGGGGGCAGACCCATCAATAAAACAGCGCGCCAGTTAGCCCTGTGCGAGGATTCTTAATTTAGGTCACCGACACCGTCGGTTGTTTTCTGACTTAACTTAATCGTAATTATCCTAAGTATTACATTTAGCATCTTAGAAAAGATATAAAGTTCGCTCTACCCCAATGTGTTTTGTAATAAAGTATAGTTTTGCCCTGAACTATTATAATTAAAGCACGAGGACGGTAGAGCGAACTTTATTTCCTAAATAGACAGAGCTTTAGCGATTGCAATGCGATCTTCTCAAATCCCAAACAAAACAACTTTTCAAAACTCGCTCCTGTCACCCCCTTCCGAAACACGATTCGAAGAACAACAACGTTGTTGTGGTCTAACTCTGTTGTCGTGCATTTGTATTATTGACGTAAAGTACACTGATTAAAAATACAATAGTTGCCCTTGATTTACCTGTTTGAATCACCATCTTCACGTTAGGGATGGCTAGTAGGGGTCGAGGGGCAGTGCACTGCAGCTGGGAAATCATGGCGGAGACTTGGCGTCATCTGTGACCTTGTCGGAGACTTGGCGTCATCCGTGAACTTGGAAAACGGCGGATCGTGCTCCCCCATAAGGATTTCATTTTGGCGTATGACCTAGAAGGATGACTATTTTTCTGTTTGAGTCCAGTGGTACAGTTACACTCACATACTGCTGCTTTGAAAGCATGAAATACCTTAAAGGTCACATGCAACGTAAAACACAACTTTGCAGATTCTGATACCTTTCGGTATGGACTTACCGAAACAAATCGTCAAAAATGCAAATTCAACTTATAAAGCATGAAATACCTTAAAATATTAACACTTTTTGTTGATGAAATAATTTAATTTCAGCTGTTCATTTTTAAAATTTTAAATGTATGTTTTTTTAATATCATTTTAAAGTTAGAAAATAGAGTTCGCTGAAAAGATTTTATGGTCTGTTTGGGTTTTTGTTTTGGGTAGGTGTGGCTGGATTTGAATCCCTCGCGGTCCTATCTGTATTAACAACTTCAATTCATGCCATATACTTCTCATATGGGTGTACTTACTACTTAGTCTTGTCAATATGACGACATATGTCCTTTAAACGATTGCATATTACAATAACGGACGTAAGTGCTCGGATTACTTATTTATCGAAGTACCTCAGTCCTTACGCACATTCTAATTAGTTTCTTCTAGTCGGATATGAAAAGGGGCGAGTATTGGCGAATAGTCTTTGCGTACTCAGTGAAAAAAACATCAGTTCACATGTTTGCATTACGGCCATTGCGTCTACTATGTCACAGGGGCATTGTTTTGGAGGAATTAGACCAACGCTTAGTCTACTAATATATATAATTTTGACAGAAACAAATAATCCCTTTAAACTGAAAAGGAGTCCCACTGAGATGGGAGATCCTGAACGTGAGGAAACCTAGACTTGCTTCATCTAGGGATTTAGCGTTGCAGAAAGGGCTGGGCGGAAGGGAAAATAATCCTCACGCAGTGTCTTACATTGTCGTCAATGCTCTGACCATTCAGTAGGTCGTCCACAGTTTAACGTCGTTGGATTCCTTTAGCAGAGGATGTACCATGTTCCCTTAAAGTTGTCATCATGGGTGAGGTCAGGTGAAATTGGGTTTAACGTCGTGCTTGAGAATATTTCGCTCATATTACGACGTGCATGGGTATGTATGTGTATGTGCGGCTGCTTGTACTAGCCCAGACTTAAGCTGGTTTTATAGTGCTAGCCCACTGAGATACCCCACTCAGACACATTATACTGACTCCGAGCCGACCAGTCCTTGTTGCACCCATTAATGCCGAGCTCCAGGCAGGGACCAACAAGTACCATATTTTAACGTCTTTTGGTATGACGCGGTCGGGGATCGAACCCGCGACCTTCCGCTCTCCGGGCGGACGCTCTAACCACTACACCACGGAGGCGGTCGCCACCATGGGTGCCTGATGGAGGTGGTTCGTTCACTTGAACATATACTTGGTGACGGCACATTAGTCAATTTTCTCTATTTTCATCAATAGAGAATACCTCGTTTTCTGTCTCACAATCCCTGAACCAAATTGATTTCTCTTCCACCGAAGATCTCTTGTTATGCACTAAATAAAGCATGTCTGGTTGTACAGGTTCAGATTCTGAATACCTCATCCCGCTGATGCTCCTTTACTATTTAAATGGAGTTAGAAGTATATGATTCTATGAAAGAGATTAAATACCTAGTCACGTTGCGACCTTGTGTATTCAGTTTAAATACAGCGTGTAAGCACTGAAATTACTGTACTATGCATGCCAACCGTTAAGGGGGCACTGTTCATTCCTCGTAATTAGTCTCGGGCCTTTTACCCTCCTGTGTTATTCCACAGCGGCACGATGTATTTGTAGTACAGAGTCGTGCCAAAAGTATTCGAGCACTTGACGTAATTTCCATAGACTTACATGCTAATTTAGTGTAGCATAAATAGTTTTCATGAATTCAATTTTCGTAAGATCCAAGTCAAATTTTGCACATTTGTGAGGAATCATTTTACCTACAATCACATAGTTTCTGTTGAATTTTCCGTTGCTTATTTATCGAATGGCAACGTTTTAATCAACATGTGTACAGTGCCGTGAACCTCTTTAACATGTAATTGTGCATTGTGGAACCATACGTAAGTTGATAAATGTGATGTCATTAGTTAAATAGTGGTCGGAAAATTGAACTGAAATTATGTGCGCAGAGCACAGATGATTTCAAATATGACTGTCAAATTTTACAAAGATCCATCCTAAACTCACTTCATGAAAATTGTTTATGCTACACTGAAATAACATGTACGTGTATGGAAATTACGTCAAGTGCCGAATACTTTTGGCACGACTCTGTAGTTCCATAAAAAGTATGTGGGCACATGAGGGTTTATGGTTAACTGGAAATTCATGCATTAAAACATGTCTCTACGTTTATCTGTGGCATTTCAGCTTTGGAGTATGTGTTTAATGCACCACTATACTAAAGTTTAAAAGGAAGTACACCCCTAGTGCTTTGGGAGTATTTCCAAAATATGACATTAATAGTTTGTAAAGTACACACTGCTTCTGACCTGTAAGTCACAATCCTAACACTGATCCAAATATGTACATATTCTTTTGGAGAATCATACCCCAACACTATATAGGTACATTCTTTTGTATGTTAGTTTATTGTGTTGTTAGTTTTAATGAAACCCCTAAATTAATTCATATGTTATTAAAACTGACACAATAATAACAAGGAGACACGGAATAGACGTCGTGCTCAATTCACGGGTTTCCAACTTTGTAACCTAACCCATTAAGGAAGGTAATCACGAATGAGGCAAAACCAGTAGTGAAACATTACGTGGAGCTAGTGAACGGATTCGAACAAAAACTATGTCTACTAAATATATTTTATGTTAATGCAATATCCTGAAATACTTTATTTAGTGAGTGAGTTAGTTTAGTTTTAAGCCGCTTTTAGTAATATTCAAGCAATATCACGACGGGGGACACCAGAAATGGGCTTCACACATTGTACCCACGTGCGGAATCGAACCTGGTCTTCGGCGCGACGTGCGAACGCTTTAACCGTTAGGCTACCCCATCGCCCCATACTTTTTGTTGCATGCCTGTAAAACTTTCTGGCATATTGTTTTATTGTACAAGACGGCAAACTGTCTTGCCGCCTTGTTCTTATTGATGACTACTCTTTAGTCAGTAACACGATGCATCTTGAATGAAATAAAATCTGCACCGACCGATGTGTGAGTGGTGGGTCTTGTATGGAAACTAGTATTTTCATCTACGTCTGATAAATCAGATATTCCTTTTTAGAAATATTATTTTCTACAGTCTGAACCACAATTATTAATTTAAGCATTTTATGGAACAATTTACAATTTACGCATGTTCGATTAGCGATGTGTATATGTATGATCGAACGTATTTTAACATTTATTTTATTTAACGTGTAATGATGTAATGATGGATCATAGCCCCATAGCACGTGACATCTTAAGTACAGACATTCTTCCTCTCCTTCCTCCTCTTCTTCTGTAAAACACTGGATACTCGAGGATGGCTCGTCCCTATTGACATCTTTTCTTTGTTTCAGGGCAAGAAGCAAGTCACCACGTCCTGTCCTGGCACTGTTGTGTGATCTAATGGAGCCTTTTTGATTCTGAACACGATGACCTTTGACAGGCACTAATGGGAATGGTCTAGATGACGCGTGGCACACCGTGATTTTAATACACAGGATATCAAAGATATTGTTATCATCTGCGTGTGTGAAATTAATTAGGGCACCGGGACCGAGAAAGTGCCGGTTTATTGGCATTAGTGCATTTACGCAGACCTGTTCCTTGCGGTAAGTTGGAATTTAATAACCCTACCTAGCCCAGAAGCCGCTGACAGGCAAATTGAATAAATTGTCATCGCTCAAGCAGGCGTTGTTTTCAAGCTTCACATCGAAAACCAGGAACTGTCACTATGGGAACGGTGGATTGTATTATTGCGCATGACTCTATGAAGTGCTGAATAGTTTGTCGGGTCCACTCGTTGCACGAGGCTCTATTGGTGAAAACATTTCATTACCGTTCAGCACGCTGTTTCCCCAGCTTCAGTCGATTACTTCACGGAGCAGACGACAGACCACACGCGGACTCGGGAGCCGGAGCAGACGATCTCTCTCACTCTCCCTCCAAAATGATACGAAACCATATACGCAAGAGTCACGATCCCAAAAGACGGGCGAGCTTGTGTTTATCCTCAGAACCGAACCCCATACTTAACGATGGGGTGAGAAGAAGGGGATCCCTCTTCACCCCAACGGGGCCTCTCCTGACTGTTCCCCCTGTAAGCGACCAGAGACGGAGCTCATTCCCAGGGATGGGTTCGGGATTTCCAGTGACAACAAACGGTGACATTAGCCGGCGACGATCCTCGAGTGTCACTCCGGACAAGACTGGTGGATTTACAGACATAAATGGTCAACCAAACTGTAGGTCACTAAAAATTGTTGTGTCAACTATTGGAGTATTTCTTCTGGCTGTCTTAGTATATTCCTTCGTGAGACTTGTCACATGAGAAGCGACGTAAACCAACTCCAAGATGTTCTAAAACGGATACTTTCAAGGGACCAAACTGAAGATTGTGATCTATTATCAGCTGTATATAATATTTTTGCACGTTTGCCTGTAAATACCAACAACCATTTTTCCATGTAACGTAATGACGTGAATTGTTGTCGTCAAGGTGAACAGGTGGATGTTATGTATATTTGAACGACAAGTGTACCTGGGACGTCAACACAAACCTGCAGTCACTTTAATGGATGTGTGCATCAGCTTTATTCTTAATGGATGCTACCGTAATTGCAAAATTGCGAAAAATTAAATTTGCCGAGGTGGAGACGACGCTCGTCCCGATCGATAGAACAGAATGTTCTGAAGGAAACAATGTGCCACATGTTCGTAAGGTACCAAACTTCTACCATTCGAGAGACTGGCCTGCATCTATCGGAATCTGGTTTTCAAGGAACCATTGTGATTGTTCGGAGTTCTTGGGAAGGAGCTGTAATACGTGACGTAACTCTCACAACGGAAGACGGATGAGCGGTGTGCATTTCAGGAGCCTGATCATCCTGCCCTGGATGGGTGGTAGTGTTCAAGACAGAGATAACACGATGCGATTTTCACCTCGGCGTGACCTGCACGGACAACCTGTTCAGTTGTTATAACAGGTATCTGTAGGTATATAAATAGATGAACTTTGAACTCGGTCGGGGCAGAATGGAAGGCAATTTGTCCTATACTTAATAGCTGATTACAACAATATCGACCCATCTGTAATCGTTCCATTTAGTGTTAAGTCACACGTACTTTTAAGACGGCAAGCGTTTTTCAAAATTAACTCAAGTTTGGACGCATTGTGTTTTAAGGTCAACATAAATTGCCAGACAAAAGAAATTATGTACTTGAAAATTAGATCTGACGCAAGCATTCACATTATAAAATCAGCTTCGGGTCCAAAACATAATTATGATACCCAAATCAAATACATGACCATTACTTGTTTGTTTTATTTTAGCCACCACTAGGTGTATATTTTATTTTGTCTTGCAGTAATGTTTATAACTAATATTAGCTAGATTGGTCATCAGATTAAAGATGTGACGGTATTTTGAATTCTGAGATTAATTTAAGATGGAAACCATGTTAATCCAGACTACACGTCAAGTCGACTCTCCCAGAATACCTAATCATGATTCGTAGTATCTCACTAAAGTACGTCCTGGAGATACGAATAGTAATTACGTTGAAGGCGTGGTTCTGGATTAACAGGGTCCGGGTTAAGAAAGTTTCGTTGTACACAATGTCTGTCTTCTATGAGTATAAAATGTGCATATATGATGATAAACTAACACGCGTAAAAACATTAAAATAGAAGCTTTCCTCTATTTGTTTTTAGAAATCCCAATGTTGGCTGATTTTCACTGTGAGGCTTTAAGGTGTGATGCTAATCTCAACTGACAAACACCCTGTTTACCTGATTACCCGCCACGCTCTTTTAGCGTGTTGATGTGATTGAAGTGGCTGTTATTATTTCATGCCCCACACACCTGCCACATTGACTGACGTGGAATTATGTCAATTGCAAGTATAATACACAGACTGATTGATTGACGTGGAATTATGTCAATTGCAAGTATAATACACAGACTGGTTGCGTGGGAGACTCGCTCATATTTACAAATGCATTCGATTAAGTTTGAAATACACATCAGTTGGTTTCAAGGGAACAGTTAGACATGACATGACGCTCGACAACCACGACTGCACAGCTCGGAGGTATATATGGTCAATAGCTCATTAACATTCACGTCCAATCTGACACTCACGTGTTTCAATAAAGGACCGCTGCAATCGAACATAACATCAATCGTCATTTAACTGTTCATGACATACCACACTGCACGCTTTTTTGCTCGTGAAAAGAATTAATGTGTTTGTACAAATATACCTTTGTTGTCACAGTGATCCACAAAAGGTTTTTTCCCTTTACAATGATACAGGGCAGATTCCATTTACAAACTCATTCATATGGGTTGACGTTCGGATACGCCTCGAACATACGTGTAGGTCAGGTAGCCTGGTGGTTAAAGCGTTCGCTCGCTACACCGAATACCTGAGTTCGAATCCACACGTGCAGACAATGTGTGAAGCCCATTTCTGGTGTCCCCCACTGTGATATCGTTGTAATATTGCTAATAACGAGGTAAAACTAACCTCACTCCTCGAGTATACGGGGAGGTGGGGTATCCTCGTGGTTAAAGCGTTCCCTCGCCATGCTAAAGACCCGGGTTCGAATCCACAGGTTGAGACAATGTGTGAAGCCCATTTCTGGTGTCCCCTGCTGTGATATCGTTGTAATATTGCTAATAGCGGGGTAAAACTAAACTCACTCCTCGAGTATACGGGGAGGTGGGGTATCCTCGTGGTTAAAGCGTTCGCTCGCCATGCTAAAGACCCGGGTTCGAATCCACAGGTTGAGACAATGAGCGAAGCCCATTTCTGGTGTCCCCCACTGTGATATCGTTGTAATATTGCTAATAGCGGGGTAAAACTAAACTCACTCCTCGAGTATACGGGAAGGTGGTGTAGCCTGGTGGTTAAAGCGTTCGCTCGTCTCGCCGAAGAACCGGGTTCGAATCCACTAGTGCAGACAATGAGCGAAGCCCATTTCTTGTTGTCCCTACGTTGTAACACCGCATGAAGTCGCTCACTTTCTTACCTAACAGGGGCGGTGGGGTAGCCTAGTGGTTAAAGCGTTCGTTCGTCACGCCGAAGACCCGGGTTCGATTCCCCACATGGGTACAATATGTGAAGCCAATTTCTGGTGTCCCCCGCCGTGATATAGCTGGAATATTGCTAAAAGCGGCGTAAAACTAAACCCACTCACTCACTCTTACCTAACATTGGAATGGATGAAAATTACGCACATTATTAATACGGACAGCCACCTGTCTCATTAAAGACGACCCTGGCGGTAAAATACAACCATGTTCAAGGGATAATTGGGTATTTGTTATACCGTGAATCGGCGTAATAGATCATGATGTAAGCTATTGACGGCGATACGACGGACCAGCCTTACATCGACCGCGACACAGTGATGTGGTGAGAAGTCCATCAGGACTGCACGGTAATATCTGATTTGCAGAGAGTGGGTGATATAATTACAATTATCGAAAATTCGCGTGTATTTCTTGAGGCTATTTTCAGTCATATAATGGTAAACGTGCCGCGATTGATCAATTTTCTTAGTGAAATGAACACGGGAGAGAACGTGCTTTAGTCACCACATAGTGAAGAAGTTACTGAAATAGACAAGAATCTGTAGTCAAGAAGCATGCCTATATGTTGTGTATTTCACGACACTCTTTTTAGGTAAACTGCGATCACGTTTTGTGGTTAATGCAATAGTCAAGCTATTAATAGACGTGAGTGGGTTGTGTTGTACGGCGCGTTTTGCAGTTTTGAAAGAAATAGGCTTCGCATGTTGTACCCATGTAGGGAATCGAACCCGGGTATTCGCTGTAACCACAAGGCTACCATCTATCCGACAGACGGACAGTCAGCATGCGATAAGCCTTCGCATACCATGTACATGTTACGATAAAACTTCCACAACATCCACAAGAAATCGCGGGTCGATTGTGTAATTCCGCCTATATTATGAGCATGCGTTTCTGAAACACCATCTACCCGTGAAGGTCCAGTTTAGAATGTATCTTCAGCAACCCATGCTTGTCGTAAGAGGTGACTAACGGGATCAGGTGGTCAGGCTCGCTGGCTTGGTTGACACATGTCATCGGTTCCCAATTGCGCAGATCGATGCTCATGCTTTTGATCACTGTATTGCCTGGTCCAGACTCGATTATTTACAAACCGCCGCCATATAGCTGGAATATTTCTGACTGCGGCATAAAACTAAACTCACTCACTCACAGAAACACCACCAAACAGTGATGATACCACGTGTTCACGAAAAGGTTGGCGCATCCTGCCCCATCGGTACAACACGTCATAGACAAATGCTAAATGTAGTCAATAGGTCACCTGAGTCAAAATGGGACTGCATCGGACATCATGTTCTGGTCACTGATGCGTCAAATTTGGAAATGTCCTCCACATGTCTTCCATGAAACTTTTGAAAGCTTTACTGAGCCAAGTACAATTTCCACGCTTCCCAATCAAACACAACGTGATTTGGGAGCAAAACATATTCAGGTTATCCAGTTTAAGCAATTGAACTTTATAATAGCTACCAGGCTTCTGCTATCGATGGTACTTCTATGGCCGTTCTTGCTGAAGAGCAGTGTTTCTTATGAACGCTTCATTAAGCACCCGCTGGGTATGATAATACGGTTGGTTTAGATGGGCATTGTTCACATCAACAACACTCCTTTTGTGTTTCTACGTGTCTTTCAGACCTAGTTTTTCCATTAACCAAGTAGACTTGTAAGACACGAACAACATTAGGCTACATTTAACTGGATGTTGATGGCAGTAAGTGGAAGGAGAAAGTTTATTCTGGTGTCACGTGTGACAAACATGTAAATCAATAGACATTTCATTGTGTAAAACAATGTAGCTTTCCACACACTTTTGAGTGAGTGAGTTTAGTTAAATAATCGAGTCTGGACCAAATAATCCAGTGATCATCGGCATGAGCATCGATCTACGCAATTGGGATACGATGACATGTGTCAGCAAAGTTTGACCACCCGATCCCGTTAGTCGCCTCTTACGACAAGCATGGGTTACTGAAGATCAATTGTAAACCGGATCTTCACGGTTCCAGACACTTTTTAGTCATCAACATCGTAATTAAAATAAAAAAGAGAGGCGACTAACGGTATCGGGGCGTCACTCAACTGATGCGTGGTCATCGTATGGCGTATTGCGTGATAGATGCTTTTGATATCCATCACTGGATGGGCTAGTCTAGATTGCCGTCATTTACAGACCGGCGTCATATAGCTGGAATCTTATTGATAATGTCGATTGACAATATACAAACAACGTTGATTATGCTAATGATAGAATAGCACATGCAAGAATACCATACAAGTGACCTGTAAATTATGTGAACATTTCTAGGTTTAAAGAAGATAATCCTCTTACATAAGTTGCCACGCCACGCCGTTAAACCCTTTAATCCGGACAGTAATCAGCTGGCTTAACGAAGTTAAACCCTTTAATCCAGACAGTAATCAGCTGGCTTAACGAAGTTCCTTATATATGGCTCATGGTTCCTTTTCGCATTGACGTAGAAGTTCCAAACAGTATTCACCTGGAATGTGAGCTTTCCGGAATGACAGGAGTCTGGACAAATGGGGTTTCGTTGTATTATATCTGCGTTATATGATGTAATTTCTTTTGCATTTGTTTGTGCCAACGCGAACACCCGGTGTCACGACTATTTTGATGGTGGTTCATAGACGTTTGCTCATTTCTTTTGGAAGACATTTCTCATGAATATGGAAAGGGGTTTGTCGCTTTAATGAACACTGTTATAGGACCCGTAAGTAGGTCACGGCACTTCGCGAGACCTTAGTACTTCCGGTGACATACATTTTCATACATTTTCATAATCCTTGCAGACTAACAAATTTCCGATCTAACCATCCCCAAATTTGCCAACTATTACGACTGTCAACAGCTGTGAAAGCCAAACATGGTTGTACACTTGGTTCGATCCAGTAAGGTCATATTTGGCGGTCGCACAATTTGGAACCAGAACTGATTCTTGAATAAAGGCTTGTCACTGGAATTCTGGTACCGATAGTAAGATCTTCCGCGTCTCGCATATCGCAAGTTAGCGCGTGCAAAGGGAGCCTGGAACCAGCTTGTTACAGGAAGTAGCACCTCGCGAGAGTTACAGGTCCTATAGTATGTCTTGGGTATCGTGTAGCAACGATCAGCTGTTCAATGAAGCTTCTGATTGCATTTCATATGTCCTTCATTTGATCAATAAACGATCAAAAACTGTTTGGGAGCTCGTAGTTGAGCATTCTGTGTATGCCAAACCTATTCTGTGGGAGATTTACGCGAACATTTGTTTTAATTTTATAAATGATATACAGTAAGCTACGGTTATAACGAACTCAAAGGGACCACCAATTGTAGTTCGTTATAACCGTTGTTCGTTATACGCATCTCATTTGAAACAGTAAGTGGCCGAGAAAACAAAACAGTTCGTTATGTCTGTCAGGTCGTCATAAGCATGTTCGATATAAACGTAGTTTACTGTATTTATATATAGTGAGTGAGTGAGTTCAGTTTTACGCCTCTTTTAGCAATATTCCAGCAATATCACGGCGGGGGACATTAGAAATGGGCTTCACACATTGTACCCATGTGGAGAATCGAACTCGGGTCTTCGGTGT